CGGTCTTTCTATCGGTTTGCTGCAGCGGAGGCGGTACGAATTACTGCCGTGGAGAATCGAAAACGTCGTCCTCCCCGGGCAAATGATGCAGAGACGATTCAGCAGATCACGGAGTACGAGAACACTTTACTCCAAGGAGAATGGCATGCGGTCCTTGTCGATCGAGTCCTGCCAATTGAGGAACCAGTCCTCGGAACCCTTTCTCCGGAAGATCAACGACCTGAAGAGTTCTCAGCAGCGCCCGTCCCCAGTGCAGAACCTAACCAGAAGGTGAGGATCAAGCCCATGAAGGGGAAGCGCTCGGATCCTCCGGCGTGGAACCTGAGGGGCAGGAAGATGACGATATGGGCGTGCCCGAGGCAAGCTCTATCCCCACCATGCAAGAACCGAACGAGACCGAGCTGGGTGAGATATCACGTCCTTGCGAAGGTTACGTCCGAGCACTCAATGCCCTACGCATAACCGCTGGTATGCAGCCACCCAGCATGTGCCTTGCTTGCGGCAACTATGGCCACAACACCCGAAATTGCGAAGCAAATGGGGGGTACAACGCTCTGGTGGTGAACGAAGCATTCAGCATCATTGGGAAAAGCCTGGCAAAGATGCACAAGTCAAGCAGTACGCCACCAACAGAGATTTTCCAGAGATGGGCAGAGAAGAATTTGCGAGATGCCGCTCGCGCTCCGCAAGTACCAGGAACCGCTTCGGATACTCCGGGTGGGGATGGGGAAAGCGTTGAGCCTGGAGCCGCAGCGTCTTCGGAGGATTCCAGAGGCCCGCTGCCAAGACGGCGTCAAGCATCGATCTCAGTTGAGGACCCTACAGTGGTCGTGATCGAAGTCGATGAAGAACCTGAAGAAGCTGCAACAAGAATGCTTCGACCCAAACGCAGACCCCAACCGAGATCTGATCTTCCAGAGCCCAAAGCTGCGCCAGCTCCTAGGCGGTGGATTGCGAACAACGCCGGCAATGCTCGTTCATTCGTCGAGATTCGCTACCACGAGCCGAAGTCTTGCCTTGACATCATCAAGTCCATCGAGGACGTATCGTGGGTCGGTGGGCAGAGCATCTATGAGATCGGATTACAATCGCAGGATGCAACGCGCCGATTGATTGAGCAGGAGGTTGGAGGAGACGTTGCAACACACCCTCTCCGAAGCGACATCGATGAGTATCCTTCCTCGAACGTGGGGTACGTGAACATCGGCAAGCTGGTCATCGGAGGGGACCTCCGGCTCCTACCCATCAAGGGCGCAAGGTTCGCTCACAGGCATTTTTCAGCCCTGGTTCCCGCGACTTCCTCCAATGACAACCATCGCAATCGGGATTATCATCGCAGGATCAAATCCCTGGGCTACGATGTGCAACGTTTGCTTAGGCACCGCCTAGCAAACAGAGAAACGAACTACATGCACAATCAGCTCCCAACAATCCCGTGCGACACCGGAGGGTGGGTGATGCTCAAAGACTTCATCAACTTGGAGAACTTCTGGCAAAGCGGGAGATACTATGCAAGGAGTTCAGCTCGAGACGACAACTCTGAGTATCAGAGACGAATCCAAATGCTGATCGACTACGCGTACTACGAGTACCGCACGAACGGAAGGATCAGACTTCAATTCCTGGGCATCAAGATCGTGGCGCCCAAACCTGGACAGAGGGCATCCGATACGCCGTGGGACGGTACTCCGGGCGTCGGTGCAACACAACGTGCCCAACTTGAAGAACTCGGAGGACACAGGTTGACACACGACATTACGTCCGGGACCCTTCGTCGATGCGACAATTGGGTGCAGCCATGGGCGATCAGGGCCACAAGTGGACACTCCAGCAACTCCAATTCACTGGTGCGGGTGAATGACGACAGGGTCGCATGTCACTTGACTACAAGCTTGGTCAACCAGATTGGTGGGGGGTATCACACCACGGCCCCAGAGCTTCTCGCCAACATCGTGGCGAAAGGACTTCTTCCAGGCGGAGGGGCGTCAGGCGGTCGGGTCCACAGCCACTTCGGGACGTTCCCGCCATGGGATCCGAGAAATCAAACGGTGAGAACAAGGATTCCCGGGAGGCCGAGGTCACCAATTGCGGTACTGTACGTTCCAGCCTACGAGCTCATGCGCTACAATGCAGTGATCACGATCAATGGAATGTTTCTCGTCCAGCGGCAAATTCCATTCGAGGCCGTCAAGCACGTTTGGATCTGCATGCCAAGCCAAGGAAGGTACTTCGAGTTCAGCGAAGTCTTCAAGGTGTACTCCAAAGAGCTGTCCAAGGAGATGGTCGAAGGGTACGGGGACGCACGCATCAATCCTGATCGTGATCCTCCAAAACCTTCGGTGGAAGACCTCGTCAGCACCATGGAAGGCACCGACGCTGGCCCGCATGAAGGCGAGAGGCGCGAGGTCTTGCAAGCAATTGAGCAGGCGGGCGACACCGTTCCTGGAAACATCATCAAGCGTGCTTTCCAGTTTCTCTCAAGGACATTCCGGCGTGTGACGACCCACACCACCACAAGCGATCCGCTGATTTTGAGGGTTTGCCCCTGCTGCGGCAGGCATACCCCTGCGAGCTTCGCGATTTGCCTCACGTGTGGGAGAGTTTTCTTGTCCATGGGGAGGATCCAGCATGTGCGCGCCAATCCGGAACCAGAAAGGATTGATCCGGAAGTGGTCCGCCAGGCGCTCAACCAGGCCGCTGCCGTCGTCAACAACGAGGTTGTGGAGATTGAAGTGGAAGATGAGCCACCTTCAGAACCTGTCCAGGAGGATGCACTTCCGCTCCGCGGGGTGCAGAATCCAGCAGGGGATGCGGAGGCAAACAGTCCACGGGAAAGCGTGGCGGAGCCTGAGGCCGAGGAGATCCCCGATGAGATTCGCGACATGTACCGCGATGTGGAGATGGAGGCTCCCAACCAAGAAGAGGTGGAGATGGATGCGCAGAACCAGCGAGCGTTCGTGCTGGTGGGAGATAGGGAAGGCGATTCGTTGGATGATCGAAACGAGAGGAAAGCTCGCCTTGCGCTGGAGTGCAATGTCAACATTGACACCGACTACGCAGCGTGCGTGGACCACAACTTCAGGTTGTACTGTCACCTCGACGCCTTCTTTGCGTACGTGTTGGTCCATAAATGGAATCTGTTTGAGAAAATCATCATGACTCCATACAAGAAGATGAAGGACCAGTTCGCCTCAGGCATGAGACACGACGCGTCTGGGACATGGCCTATTGTCCCCATTGATGAGGACACGGCGTTGCCGAGAGACCTCATGGAAGACGAGGTAAGACAGTATGCCAGCTCTGTGGAGAACCAGCAGTTCATGATTGAGCGTTATTACGCCAACAAGTTCGTCTTCTACGTCATGCGTGGGGCGATCCAGCTGGGATACAACAAGGAGAGCTTCAACCTCCCCATGATTCCGGATGAGGCCGAGGACCCGAAAGCATTTGCTGAAGCCGGGCAAAGGGTCCACATGTTCATGGCCAAAATCATCTATCAGGTGTTGAACGTGAGGCTTTACTCCTACACGAAACCCAACGCTGAGATCCCGTACCACGCGGCATTCAAATACATCAACCCGAGCCAGCTGCTCAGTTTGATGGACTCGCAGAAGGTGAGCGTCAACAACCTTCTGGTGATGAGGGATTCGGGGTGCGCTCTACCCAACCAGTACAGCAAGAAGCTGGACAGATGGTTGAGTGATCAAAAGAAGGACATGAGCATCCTGAAGTTGAAGCCCACACAGTATTTGGAGAATCCAAAGGCGTCGGCTTTGTACCTTGCCTATGACCCTTCAGCATCCGCACCTTCGGTTACCTCATCGGGAGGATCTCGTCATCCTGAAGCGGATGAGACGGACATGCCGGCTCGAGCGAAGGCCCGCATGAGTCAGCCGAAGCCCAAGACTTCTCATCCTGGGACACCTCAAGCTGCTCCCAAAGATCCTCGCGGTCATTCGAGAAAGGGATCGGGAAAGAAAGGGTGAATGATGTACTCGGATCCTCCGGTATGTCATCCCCTGGAATCCATGGTATTCCTGAAATCTGGTTGTGGCTCAACACTTTGCGCTCTCAGTTTTGATTCCTCTTTTCCCTATGGATGCAATAGATGACACGATGGAGTACGTCATTATATCCACCGATGCTATTTCTCTTTTCGGCCACTGCATAGCAGCAGCGGGGCAATGTGCCAACGCGCCCGGTGGAGGGAAATGTGCGATTCTTCGCAGCTCGTGTGGTAGCCAAGTGGGTATGGGTCATGCTCTGCTGACTTGGCCGGTGCTACTGCTCCTTAGTCATGCATTCTGGAGACGCAATGTGATGGATCAGCAATTTGCTGACATGTTTTCAGGGCCTTTCGCGCCCATGATTCCGCAACCGTGAGCAGCAAGTCTTTGTACAGACAAAGGATGGGATTGAACGCTTCAGTAGCTGAAAGTCTGTCTCACATCTATTAATTCGGGCAAATAGAGCAAAACAGTGGAGAACGGCCAGACTATAAGTCGCTTTTAACTGGGACCATTGTATGTTCGTGACGCAATTTCGTCTAGCATTTTGCAAATCCCAGCCGTGGGGGGTGTGAATGATCCCCGAACCACAGCACGTTATGGGGACCCCTTTGTGTCGGCTCCGCCGCACATCGGGGAAACCACTTTAGAATGCCGTGGCCTGTTCACCACATTGGCTCAAGTAACCCTTAGAGTGAAGGTCACCCATAGGTTAGAGGTAAGCGCAATAGCGTAACTGGAAACCGCCCGGGTGCACGAGACGGAGACTGAAGGCGAACGCCAGTGCAGAAAAACAAGTGCGAGACCATTTGGCTGGTGAGGAGCCAAAGCGTAGTGCAAGCAACTACCCCACCTCACGCAAAAGCCCTTGAAGCCCTAAACTCTGAGCCCCTCCGGGGGCCTTGTGCCATACAGATTGTTGTTTAGGGTTTAGGGTTTAGAGTTTGGGGTATAGGGTTCAGGGTTTAGGGTTTTGTTTGACTGTTTATTGAGGCGCTTGGCTTGATGGAAGAGCTGCGGCGGCAGCATCTGCTGCCGAATCTTGTGGCTGGTCGGCATTGAACTGCTGCCTTTTGGCTCCAGTGAGGGTTTCATTGTGCGTGTGCGTTGGGTTTAGTCAATGTTTGTTTGGTGCGTGTTTGTCGGGTGCGTTTGTTTTCGTTTGTCTAGGCTTCTGAGGTCCGTAGTTTGGTGCTTTGACTGTTTTAGACTGCTGAGTGGCTGGGGTTTGGCATACCACGCTGTGAAAGTTACCGCCAGAGCATGCAAAAGGCAGCTGAGGTGACGTACAACGCAACCATCAGCGCCTGCGAGAATCGGACGTCTTGGCCACAGGTCTCTTGGCCCCATAAGCTGATGGGGTGAAAAATACTTGCGCCCCAATGCCTTCCATCCACCAAGCGGGTGCACATGAGCTGGATGTGCGCAAGGCATATATGTGGCTTGTTCTTTCGTTGTTCCTGGTGTTGCTCTTGCATGTTATGACGGGTTCCCACATTGGTCTCTACACCACAGCCAGAAAAAGCATTCGCTACCCTGACAAAGCGGGGCCAAGCAGCCTCAATCTGAGCGCCATCCTCGCAAGGCTGCGAGCGAGAGCATCCCGCACATCTCTGAACCCTGAAGACTTCCAGGAAGTCGGCCCTTTACAGCCACAAGAGAGGGGGGTTTAGGGTTTGGGGTTTAGGGTTTAATTAGGGTTTAGGGTGCACAGGGATTGAAGCTTTTGGCCGTCCAGGCGCTGTGGCTTTTCGGGCGGCTCGTGCAGGATCGTCTGCTGCCGGACCTCGTGACCTACACATCGACACTTGCAATTGTTTGGCGTTGCGTTTAGGGTTTAGGTTTGAGGGGTGTATAGGGCTTAGGGTTTGTTGTTTGATTTGTCACGTCGACTCGTGTACCCTGCTGCGTACACGTTCTTGCGGTTGATCGGTTGATCTGCATGATTCAAGACGGCGGGCCCTTGAAAGTCTCGGGTCATTACAGTAGAACCCTTGAAGTTTAAAGGGTGGTAGCCATGGCCCGTAATTCAGATCAACCACGCATCCCTACCACGCGTGATGCCGCTAGACCCTCAACCCTCAACCCTCAACCCTCAACCCTATAGGCCCTAGGCCCTAAACCCTAAACCAAGAAAAACCTAAACCCTAAACCCTAAACCCTAAACCCTAAACCCTAAACCGCGCAGCTGCCACACGAGTGATGCCCCCCCCCCCCCCCCGCAACCTTCCCCGAGGATGATCAGCGCGTGTGACAAAGCTCGTCGGCCGGACATGGTTTTGGAGTCCACCCAGCTGCGCTCAGGTACTTCAGGGTTAATGTCAGGTACTTCAGGGTTAATGTAGGGTTAATATAATTAGGGTTAAGGGTTTTGGGTTTACGGTTTATAGGGGTCGTGGAAGGACCTTGGAGGCTTTAGGGAAGAAGGGCTTAGGGGGCCGCATAGGGGCTTAGGGTAGCATCGGACCCCAATTCAGTTCCGGAGTGGGCTGGTTTGGGAGGGGAGCTTTAAGGTTTTAGGGTTACAGGATTTAGGGAGTATTTAGGGCTTGCATTTACGGGCACAAGGGTTTTTTGGGAGCGTACAGTACCAAACCTGAAACTAAGCCAAAACCCTGCCAGACCTTACAAGACCATCAACTACTACCCTACGAAGCCCGCCTATAGACCCTAAACACAAAGCCTTGGCTTCAAGGCTTCTTACTTGGAGGTTCTTGGGTACTGATAAGTAGCGTTAGATATGGGGCAATTGCGATTCTGCCTACAACCCTACATGATAAGTACCATGAACTTTCTGGGCCGAATTCATTGAATGAAGCCTTCGGCTTGCTGGTTCTTCGTAGGGAAGTAGAGAATTATCAGTACTCTATAGAATCCATTAAAGGGTTCGCTGTGGGGGATATGAAGGTACAGAATTCTCGAATCTCCTACAGTATTCAGAAACTACAAGAGGCTCTTGCATGACTCAACCCCCTAAACCCTAAGAGTTCATAAGCCCCTAAACCCTTATAAGCCCTATAAACCGCTAAACCGGAACCCGATGAAATCCTTACAGCCCAAGGCTGTTGGATGATCTTCAGAGCTCTGAGCTGGAGCTGGACGCCGTGGCCTACAACGCCGGGCTCGGCGCGTGCGAGCCCTGCCTCTAGGTGGGTTTAGGGTTTAGGGTTTAGGGTTTAGGGTTTAGGGTTTAGGGTTTAGGGTTTAGGGTGGTCATGGGCGTTGGTTTTGGGGGGCTTTACAAGTTTAGGACTTAGACCAGGGCCTAGGGTTGAGGGCGTTTTTCCATAGACCGACAACCGGAAACCCTGCAGTTATTGAACTGCTGGCCTAAAGCCTAAACACTAAACACTAACCTTTAAACCCCCGCCTAAACACTGAACCGTCGCCTCTCTATGATTCTTCGGCTCTATAAACCCTATGGGGTTAGGGTTTAGGGTTTTGGCTTTAGGGTTTCAGGTTTAGGGCAAACCTGAAACCGAGCTCAGGAAAAGGAGGCACGATGGGAGTCGTCGATCTTGCTGCTTTCTCACATGGCTCAGAGATTCCTTCAAGAAGCGGTGCTGACACGAAGCCCGGCAAGGACTTTCTGGTGCGTATCCTACTGTCTGAACCCTAATCTCTGTTGTGAGCCCCTTCAACCCTGAAAGCCATGAACTCGGGCATCGCATCCCGCACCTTCAGTTAGGGGTTTCGCCAAAGAATCAGGTTTAGGGTTTAGGGTTAGGTGGCTGCTCAGCACGAACCCCCGCAGTAGCCTGCGCCATTCAACCCTTGTCTCAAAACAAATCGAGCTTTAGAACCGTCGCTTTTCGATCTTCCCCCCATCCCAACGACATGCAGAACCCTAAGGTCCAACAACTAAACTCCTAAACTAGAAAGAACCCGAAAACCCTAAGCGCCAAACCTTAAACCCTCAAACCCCAAAACCCCCAAACCCTCAAGCCCTCAAAGCTAAACCCTAAAACCCTCAAACCCTGAACCCTAAGACCCCTAAACCCTAAACCCCCCAAACCCTAAACCCTAAACCCTAAACCCTAACCCCTAAACCCTAAACCCTAAACCCTAAACCCTAAACCCTAAACCCTAAACCCTAAACCCCTAACCCCTAACCCCTAACCCCTAACCCCTAAACCCTAAACCCAATGCCAGGGAATTCAGTCTTGAGCTCCTGCCAACGTGCTGGGCAGTGGCAGTGGGCGCTGCATCTCCTCGAGTGCACCACGGTTCAGGCCAGGATTTCAGGGTAGGGAGGGGTTTAGGGTTAGGGTTTAGAGTTTTATGGTTTAGGGTTTAGGGTTTAGGGTTCGGCATCTCATGTTCTAGGTTACGAGTCAAGCAGCTCGTCAGGCGGCAAGTAAAAGCCCACCCGCCCATCGACTCCCCTAACGTCTGGACATTTGACATTTTCTGTTTCCTCAGAGTCCTCCTTATGGTGACGATTCGTAATCCTAAACCCTAAACCCTAGAACCTAAACCCTAAAGCCACTTAGGGAGCCTTACGGAGTAGTGGGGGGTCTTTGACCCTGGGGTTACATACCCACACCCCGTGAACCCCCCTCCCTGCAGAACCCTAGAACTAACGGTATTCCCTTATGGTCCCTATTTACTTTTACTATATTAACCCCCAAGCCCGTATTCTAATTATTAAGGCCCCTACATTACCTTAAATGCCTGCAAGCAGGAAGCCCCCAAGCACTCAACCCTCAATTTGCTTCTTCGTAGGAAGACGCGGTTTCTTGGTCTCATAGGCCCTACAAGCCCTACCAGCTTCAACCATGCTACACCCGACGCGCAGAATGAACCCAAGGCCCGAAACCCAACACCCCAACACCCAAACCCCAAACTTTCCCAAAACCCTAAACCCCAAACCCTAAACCATATAAACCCAAAACCCTAAACCCTAAACCCTAAACGCCCTAAACCCTACCACCTGAGAGGTGGACCTGATCTCCTTCAACTCTGCCATGGCTGCCTGTGAGCGGGGTGGCCTCTGGGGGCAGTGGCGGCGTGTAGCGCCTCGGGAATTCCTGAGGTTCAGGGTTTAGGGTTTGGGGTTTGGGGTTTGGGGTTTGTGGTTTGGGTTTGGGGTTGGGGTTTGGGGTTTGGGGTTTGTTTCGGGTCGAAGGTTGCAGCTTTTTTTGGAAGGTTGTAGGCTTTTTGGGTTTTGGGGTTTGTTGATGGCTTAGGGTTGAAGCTTTAAGGGGTTAGGGTGGGAGGCTGAGCGTTTCTTACATGGCTTTTTCAAGTGAAGTTTTGGGGTTGGGGTTCATATACGGTTTTGGGTTTGTCTTTTTTGGGCTTCGAGTTTTAGGGTTTAGGGTTCTGGATTGGCCATATAGAGGATTCAAGTTCTCCACTCACCTGGCATCTCCTAGTTCTAACGCACAGGTTGTCCTGTTCTTCGCAAATTTAAAACACACCTAAAAAGCTGCAGCCTTTGAAGCCTACAAGCAAACAATGCAGCCCGGAACCCCAACCGCAGTAAGCCCGATAAACCCTTTCAAGCCCCGAAAGCCCCGCCCCCCCCCCCCCCCCCCCCCCCCCACTCCAAAGAACGAACAGGCAATGCAGCTAGTCAGCAATCCCTATAAGTCCTCACATGCCCTATTTCCGCAATCGTACTACACATGGACCCCTCGCGGTCAGCCCCCATACTTAAGGTTTAAAACCTCGGCCTCAGACCCTCTGACCCAAAGCCCCCAAGCCCTATAACCCTTCAGCCATTCTTCCTGAAAGCGCTGTCCGAGAAGGCCATCTCCTCACAATCGTACTTTAATTCCGATAGGGTTGAGGGTTTTGGGACTAGGGTCTATAAGAGCGCACGCGCAGAACAAGACCCCAAACCCGCCAAACAACCCTGCTCCTACACCCCCGCGCAAGCCAACCGTGAGGTGCAGCTCCTGAGGGCTCTGCAGCAACGGCTCCTCGAGGCGGGTTGGCTTGCGGGGTATAGGCCCTACAGCCAAAACCGAAATCCTAGAGCCCTAAGAGCCCTAAACCCTGGTCTGCCTCAAGGCTCCGAAGGCTCAATGGCAGCATGTGGAGGGTTTAGGGTTTAGGGTTTAGGGTTTAGGGTTTAGGGTTTAGGGTTTAGGGTTTAGGGTTGTTTCAAACCCCCGAAAAAACCTGCACCCCAAAACTACCCCAAACCCCCAAAAGCCCCAAACCCCAAACCACCAACATACCCCAAGACCCAAAGGCTTAAAATTGGGTGCTCCAGATGCTTGGGTTTCAAGGATATCGCAAACCGCTTGAACCATACGAGAGGGGTCGAACAAACTTCTAATAGTATTCTCCTATGGTCCCTACGTCATTGTTCTAGAATGGCCCCCAAAAACAAAAACTAAGGCTCCTATATCATTCCATACAAGCCTTCATGGGTTTAGGTACCCAAAAGCCCAGCTTTTCAGCCCCTAAAGACCTCCCACTAAACCCCCTGAACCCTAAACCCTAGACCCGAAACCCTAAACCCTAAACCCTAAACCCCAAACCCCAACCCCTAAACCCCTAAACCCTAAACCAACCTTCATCTACTCCCAGGCCGATGGCATCTCGCTGCTGACGGCCGTGTGCGCCTGCGCCTTGGCTTCGAGGACATGCCCCTTGCTGCCCTAAACCCTAACCCCTAAACTCCTAAACCCTTAAACTCCTAAACCCCTAAACTTAAAACTCCGAAACCCTAAGCCCTGATGCAGGGTTTGGGCTTAGGATTCAGGGATTTAGAATTGTTTAGGGCTTAGGGCTTTAGGGTTATGAGGGGTTTATGGTTTTAGGGTGTTCAGGTCATCGGGTTTTAGGTATGTTTGGGCCGTTCTGGTTTTAGGATTTAGCCCTGAAACTTGAAATCCTCGGTTGACGCTTTAGGAGCCGACCAGCCTCCCCTAAAGCCCTTCTAGAACCCCGTTGTTTTTGTTACACCTTGTTTTCCGGATTTAGGCTTTAGGGGTGTGTGGTTTGAGGCTTAGAGTTTGGTGTTTAGGGTTGTTGGGCCTCAACCCCAAGCCTTAAAAAGCGCCTAGCTGCAAATCAGCAAGGTGCCAAGGCTGCACAATGGCAGCAAGCTCTTGGCATTCTCGGCGATGCGGCCCAAGCGACCCCGGAGGGCCTTCTGACCTACAATGCAGCCATGGGCCGCATGTCTTCATGAGCTTCGTGTTTTGTTTGCTATGGTTTACGTAAGGCTTAGTGTAAAGGGACTCGCGCTCGGTTCATGAGTGTTGTTTTTTGTTTGTCATGGTTTACTTAGTGTTTAGTGTAGAGGGCTTAGAGCTCAGGGTTGAGGGGTTTACGTAGGGTTCCTTCCTCTGTCTCATGCCTTCACCCTGCCCCATGCCCCATGCCCAGCTGCCCCCAATAGTAAACCTCCCAAGTGATCTTACAGTTTACTCAGTCTACTCAAAATGCCTGGTGCTGCTTCTGGTGCCATTGTTGGTAGTTTTCGAGAGACCCCAAAACCGTGATCCATGCTCGGTCCGAAAACGCACATGTTGAGTGGTCAATTTAGACCCGAACTTGGGGTTTTCTGTTCAAAAATTGACAATTGCTTGGCGGTCTTCCGTGATTCCACAGGCAAGGGTTGCTTAGCCACTGAGCTAGCCTGGGATCAGCTGCCACAGTTGGGCTTGGCTGATTGGACTGATCGCAATGAACTCCAGGCTTCAGGCGGGCCTCCTAGACATCCAAAACCCCGACCCAGGCACACCCGAATCCCTGATCCCGGCTCCGTCCGAACAACCACAACGACGGTCACTGTGGCCCTGCACTTGGGGTTTGCTGTCCAAAATGACCCTTGTTGGGCGGTTGTCGAGACACCCAAAACCCTGATCAGCATCTTCTTCGAATCAGGTGCAACTCTCTGACATCGCCACGGGGTCAAGATCCAAAGGTCCAAGAACAGCTTGCAATGTAGCTAAGCTTTCTACCTTCCGGACAAAAATGCTTCTCGGCAACAGTTCCATGCTTCAAGAGGGGGCACCCCTAGACTTACTAGAAGCCCCCAAAGACCTCCCCCAAGGTGCCTGCGGCCGCGCTGCGCAGTGGCAATGGGTGCTTGAGCTCCTCTCTGACATGCAGAAGCAACTGCTGCTTGAATACAGGAGCCCGAGTTCCCAAGATCATCCCTCTTCCGGATGTCAATGGATTTCGATTTTGATATGTAAGCTCCCCTAGAAGTCCCTTTGTTGTGGTTAAACAAGGCCCAATTCTTACCACCTCTTGACCTAGGCCCTCTTACATTGGGCAGGAGCCCAGAAGACGAACAGCCTCATCTCGTAGTACCTATAGGCCCTTGAGCCCTAACTAAACCCTAAACCGCAAACCCGAAACCCTAACCCTCCAAACCCATACGCGAATTTCCCCAGCAGCTCATGAATTGCAAGGCAGTTAGGGCCTAAGGGCCTTAAAGGTTTGGGGCTTTCTACGTGCCTAGTGCTCTGGAGTTGAGGGCTGTTGGGGTCTACTAGGGTTTGGAGTAGAAAGGGGTTTGGGTTTTGGGCCTTTGTTCGGTGACCTTCCACACCCCGAGCCAAACAAGGCTACAGGCGACCACCATCACAGATGCCGCAGCCACGAGCCTTCAGGATAAGGGGGCTTCGAATCCTTGGGGTTGTCGGGGTTGAGGACTACGCCTGCTCACTTCCCGACACAATGGGAAGGCCACATTCAAGCGCCACAAGAGTGCAAGTATAAACCAAGTGGGCGCTTACAAAGGCTCTAGGGGTGTGTTGTAGGTTGAAGGTTTCGGGTGTATAGCGTCAATGTGGGATTTGCAGGGTTCCGCCCTTTGCCGCAGCCCTGATCCCCCAAGGCAGTCGAAGTCTCTGACAGAGTTGGCAGATTCCCACGGGTCGTGCCCGTGCTGGCGCGCGTGGCGGCCAGGGCGGAAGAATTCATGGCGCAGGGGTGGAAAAGAGGTGCTGCGCTTCAGTGCTTCCTGTGGGGGTTTGGGATTTTCAGGGGATTGTTATCTTCACTTCTCCTTTCGGAAAAAGACGGGGATGTGGACGTTGCCGTGCAATCGAAGTGCTCATGGCTGCACACTGCAGGTACTTCTCCTGAGATTTTGCCGGCGCTAGAATCATGGCTTCCCCGTACGCTTCCTTGCTCTGCTTCGGTTCGGAGCTTTCCGCCCCGAATCCAGCTTTGAAGCTGTTAATCTTAAGCGTCGAACTCGAGCCGAAGCAGTTCTCTAAAGGAAGGTCCCTTTTCACGCCCCTCTTCCTGATGAAGGGGTTTAGGCTAGGGTTTAAAGGGCTTAGCGCTTCGGGAATGACACTTCCCTGTACCTCTAAGAACCAGAAAGTGGATGATTGAGGTCCCGATCGTGGCATGTGCCTTGTATTGCGTGCCCGGAGCCCGGGATGTGTCTATTTCTGAGTCTTTTTTAGGCCTAGGCCCATTCAATTCCTTCTCTTTTGTGCGGGGGTGGGGGAGGGGTGGGGGAGGGGTGGGGGAGGGGTGGGGGAGGGGTGGGGGAGGGGTGGGGGAGGGGTGGGGGAGGGGTGGGGGAGGAGGGGTGGGGTAGTTTGTTTTCTTAGTTTTTTGTAGCCAAAAGGTGTAGGTACACTGCAATTCGTTAGGGGTCCGCGTAGTGGCTGTCGAAGAGTCGATTCCTACAGCCCTCAACTTAATGGCCTCAACAAGAGGATGGATTTCTAGATGCATTCAGGCAACAAGTGCGAAGCACGGCTTTCCAAGCATCATCACAAGATTTGGAAAGCAGCAGGTACATGTCAAGTCCCTTAATACTTCCGGCACATCCGCACATCTTGGCAGCTTTGTTGGATAGGCTTCCTGAAAATGCCTTCCATCCCTCTGCTGAGAATTGTCAAATATCGATCTCGACAAACAAAGCTTGCAAGACCGACTCGAATCTTGCGCCCTGACACACAATACACTCAATACAATATATATATATATATATGTATGTATATATATGTTTATATATATATGTATATATATGTTTATATATATATATATATACATATATCATATATATACACATACACATGATATGATGTGATATATATATATATATATGTATACATGTATATACATACATATCAGAAGCTCCTTGAGACAGAAGCTTCGCATAGCTGTCCAACACCCGGCAAAACCCACTTGTTTCGAAAGTCGTCTCAAGACAAGGGCCATTTCTTCAAGGCGGCCCCTTGTCGTTTAGGCCCCTGAAAAACCCTAAGCCCTACAACCCTAAACCCTGAACCCCTGAGGGACGAAAGCACATGGCGTATGTTTTGTGTTGGTCCCTGCTTGAGTTCCTGAGCAGTGTGGTAAGCTACTAGAATCACTTGGTTCAGAGCTTAAGGTTAGGGTTCAGGCTTTAGGGTTCAGGCTTTAGGGTTCAGGGTTCGGGGTTCAGGGTTTAGGGTTTAGGGTTTAGGTTGCAAGTTCTATAGTCCTAGGGCGAAGGAATGGAGGACATTCGGCACGAGGCCGATCTCGGGTTCTTAGGGATCTTCAAATTCGGACGTTACCATAAGCCTTAACTAGCGCAAACAAAAACGCGCTCTGTGTTTTCCAGAGGCTCATCCTAAACGGCTCCATATGACCTCTGCATATGCCCCCTTCAGGCTCGCATAAGGCTTCTGGATATGGATTATGGAGTCCCCTGTGGTTCGTGGTGGGATAAGGTCGCTTGCGCCACAAAGCAAGGCGTTTCACCCAGAGTGCTCAGGCTCCCCTGTGAAAGGGTTAGACACAAGACCTTTGGGAACACCTCTGGGTGGGGTTTGAGGGTTTACAGTCGTCGAAAAGCATGTTCTAAAGGCCTTTCTTTGGAGGAGTGTCGTCCCTAATCAAACCTTGAAGTCCTAAAACCCAAAAACCCTAAGCCCTAAACCCTAAACATCAATAAAGTCCTATAAGCCCGAAATTTCAGGTTTCAAAGAGACTCTGCGCCGTCGGAGGCCTAGACAACTTCAGCCCCCAGGCGGTGCGCGAGTCTCAGACGAACATCTTCCCACATTCTTGACTCAGGATTTTATTTGTTTAGGGTTTGCAGGGGTTTAGGGTCTAGGGTTTAGGGCTTCTTGGGAGCCGCTGTGGTTGTTTAGGGCTCCGTAGCCCCTAAACCCTAAACCCTAAATACTCAACACAGGAATGTCACAGGCCATCGGAAAACGACCACGGCAAGGACGGAGGTAGTCCCCTGCTCGGGGCTCTGAATAAGAAACCTTTGGGTGGGGACTAGATGAGCTGAGGGTTGTTTAGGGTTTGGGGTTCAGGGTTTAGGGTTTAGGGGGTTCAGTTCTCAGAGCTCATCGATACCCGCACGTGCCTGCAGAAAGTTACATGCTTCCCTCGAAGGCTGTTTGGCTCTTTGGCTCGGGCGGTGCGCATGTGCGGCCAGCCATCGCCAACCCATTCGTCTCCTCCAAGCGAAGTGCTAAATTTAAGGATCGCTCGGCCCTAAACCCTAAACCCTAAACCCTAAACCCTAGACCCTAGACCCCAGACCCTAGACCCTAGAGACCCTAAACCCTAAACCCTAAACCCTAGACCCTACATGCTCGGCTCGCGCGGCCAATCTTCAAGCCACGCTTCGTCAAGCCACGCTGGTGGGCGGCCAAGCCGAGGCACCCGCGACTACCTGGCAGCTCTGCGGAGTTGAGTTTTTTTTTTTTGTGGGGGGGAGGGTTCAGGGTTGAGGGTTGAGGGTTTAGGGTTTAGGGTTGAAGGTTTAGGGTTTAGGGGTTAGGGGTTTAGGGGTTTAGGGTTGAGGGTTTAGGGCTTTGGGGTTGATAGGGTGCGAATTGGGATTTCCTGGCATTGAGAGGGCTTGTCAGGGTCTACGAGGTTTTTGTTGGGGGGGTCTCCTGGGATTGATAGGGTCTACGAGTTAGGGATTTGAGTTGGGGGGGGGGGGGGGGTAGAAGTGTTTTGGGGATCCAGTGAGACGGATCTTTGGGGTTGTACAGTTTGAGTGTCTGTAACCTCTATTCCCAGCTCCTATCCTAACCTTATACCGAGTTGGTGTCTGAGGTTTGGTGTAGGCGAATCGGAAGTTCGATTGTCTCTGAGAGCTCAGGCAAAGGCTTACACAGAGGCGATCCGCAGTTGCGCTGACACCCTCCGATGGCAGCACGCGCCGCGGACGGGAAGGATAGAGGTAGGAGGGAGGGAGAGATTTTCTTTCCTTGGCAAGAAGAAGGATGAGCATGTTTTGCTTGGCAGAATAAGAATAAGATACAACCAATTCCAGAGTGACAGAAAGAGAGAAGGGGAGAGAGGGAGAGGGAAAGTCACATATGAGGGCTCCACGGAGTCTTGGTTGCACTCGTGGAGCTTCCCCAGGTGCATGTTCTCCTCGACGAGTTCACTGCACCTTGGGGGCATGCTAGGGCTTCGGTACTTTGAGGTTCATAGGTACTTATAAGTAACATGATATGTACTCATGAACCTCCAAGTTGGGTTCAGAGCGTTTTGAAAGAACCCCGACCCTGGGCCTCTTGAAGGAGTCTCCACCTGCTAAAGCCAGCTTGGCGGGCTGTCGTCCTTAAGGCAAGCAGGTTTTTGGGTTTAGGGTTTAGCATATTAGGGTTTGCAAGAAAGCCCGAGCCGCATGAACAACATGCAAACCTTCATCTTTTGCTTGAAGGTTTATATGGGGTACTCGTAAAGTTGGGTGACAAGCAGCGTCACTGTGGCTATAACCTTATTTGGGGTAGTTAGAACCCTACCTAGAAGCACCCATGAACCTCCAAGTAGGGTTTGGGGATGCGCCGACCCAGCATGCCTTCCCTGAAGAAACACTGCTTCGGATGCAGATTGTTGATGGCTTGACTTACTGGCTAGTAGGGAATGCGGGAATGAGGTACCTTATATCCCCCCAATATAGACCCTTTCATGGATGCTATAGGGTACCGAAGGCTAGGGTTTACAGGGTTTAGACTTACACTGGTTTACAGAATGCACGGTATGAATTGTCTTTTTCCCTAAAACCTTAATCCCCAACCTACAGACATACAGTCTGCAAATCCCCCCACCCCCCTACATGGCAGACGGTGCGCGGCAAGCAGCTTGATGTCATCCTGGTTGCGGCGGCAATCAAGCCACTCGGTTTTTTCGCTGTTTCAGCGGTTGTAGGGCCTAGGAGGGATAGGGGGAGTTCAAGGCTGCTAAGCAATTCCCCCGATCCCGAAGTCCTATAAACCCTAAAGCCCTACTAGACCTTCAACCCGCAGTCCTGGAGCTAAACCCCCCCCTCCCTCCCCAAGTCTGGAAGACCTCACAATCCAGAAGCCCTGAACCGTGAGCAGGGTAGGGTTTGGGGGTCTAGGGGCTTTTCGAGTTTTAGGGCGAAGGGTTCAGTTCCAAAGCCAGGAGGGTGGCAACATTGCCATGTACTGTTCCTGGAACCCCAGAAGGCTTCTCCCCTAAAGACGAGTCGAAGACCCTGAAACAGTGAAGCCCTCTTGCCCGAAACCCCAAACCCCTAAACCCTAAACTGCCCCAAACCCCTAAACCCATGAACAATGCCTTAGGGATGCTGGTCGTGGAGGTCTGAGTCGCCCACATATCTCGGAAGGAAAGGGCTGAAGACTTTAGGGTTTGGGGTTTAGGGTTTAGGGTTTAGGGTTTAGGGTTTAGGGTTTAGGGTAAGAACCCAAGAGTCTTCGCCTTGTAAGCCCTTTCAGAGTTTAGGTTTTCAGGCTTGAGGGTTTAGGGTGCCCTTCTGTGTGGGAGTTGATCTGAATCATGGGCCCTGCCTCCGCATTTCTGGCATGCCAAATTTCGAGGATGGTTGTGTATCCAATGTAGGGCCAGGAGTTTAGGTGAATCCCCATGTGCTTGCTGAGGGTGCTGGGGAAGGCACAGCAGTGGCGACAGGACCCTTGAGTGCACTTGAATCAAGGGCTTTGGGGTTTGCATCTTCAGCAAGTTTCGGGTTGAGGCTTTTTGTTTTTTTTTGGGGGGGGGGGGGGGGGGGGGGGGGGGGGGGGGGGGGGGGGGGCGTATGAGTTGAGGGGGGAGTATAAGTTGAGCTGCTTTTGTGTACTAGTGCTGCCTAAGCAGAGTTTTTATGACCCCTTGATTCCATGTTCCCTCTGAGACCTAACCCCATGCCAACATACAAAATCCCTACTACAATCTGAATCCTTAAACGCCTATAGTCCCTTCCCTCCCTCCCCCAACCGCCCTCCACGAACCTCCCGAACCCTAAGCCCCGTTACCCTGAACCCTGAACCCTGAACCCTCAACCCTCAACCCTAAACCCTAAACCCTTTAGCTTTAGGCTTCGGAGCTTCCGTCTGTATCCTCTGCATTCGAGTCTCGAAGTCGCCGGACCCTCTAAACACTCTGGGGCTTAGGGTTTAGGGTAAGCAATTCCTATCAGTCTGGGCATTTCCGAAAATAGAGGGTACCCCTTTTTCGGGGTTCCTGTGCACCGCTAGTTCTCGGAAATCCCTTATAATAAACACTAAACCTACAACCTGCGTCCTTGGCAGGGCCTTGTTCTTCTCCAAGCCGCCACAGCACAGCGCTTGGCACACCAGGACGCTGTCACGAAGGGGGTTTGTGACGTTGCGCGCACATGATAAGCCCGGACCCTGGAGCCAAAAACCGCTGCTGCTGTTTTTTCATGGCTTGTTTCTTGGGGGGCGAGGCGGGGGGGGGGGGGGGGGGGGTTGGCTGGAGGTCGTGAAGGCTGCCGTGTTGAGAACGTCAGGAAATTCAGAAAGAAGCTCTAAAGCCAGAAGGGCTCCCTGCTCAACTGCAGGATATTTTGCCCAAGAAAAGCTTGAGCCTAAAGCCCCCTAAACCCTAAACCCGAAACCTAAGACCCTAAACCCTAAGCCCAGCTTGGGAACTTTCAAAGCCATTCAGGGTTGAGGCTTTCGGGCTTGGGGTTTTGGGAGCCTCCTGAAAAACCGTAACCTTACTTGTCCCTAAACCCTAAACCCTAAACCCTAAACCCTCCCACCAGTCCTCGAGAACACAGAATCCCTATGTTTAGATCGCGGAGTAAACCGTGTTGCCTCTTTGTTTCGGGGAAGGATCGCGTCTCAACGGTGCAGCTAAATCCTACTTGGAGGTTCATGGGTGCTTATAAGTAGGGTTATTTATATGGTCATAACCTTATATGGGATACTTCTAAAATACCCATGAACCTCCACGTAAGAGTAAGCCCAAACCGCACGTAGTCCCAAACCCCCAAGCTCCCAATCCCAATGCAGCAAGTCGCAGAGACTCATCCAAAAACCCTTACAGGGTTTAGGGTGTAGACCCCAAGCCACGAGCCAAAAGCCCAAAACCAATCGTAAACACTGAAGCCTTACATGTCGGTCAAACCTTTTCGGAGGCCTGTAACTCCCAAACCCTACGAAATAGTAGGTTATACCCCTCCTAAACATAGGGCATAACCCCGCACAAAAGCAGGTAAATGGAGCCCCATGCTAACCCCATACTCTTTCCCGGCAAACCCCTGAGCCTAGTTCCCCCCTCCCGAAGCTCGAAACCCTGAGTTCCCCAAACAAGCCCTAGAACCCGACATCCTAAACCCTAGCCCTAAACCCCAAACCCTAAAATGCCCGATGCCCGAAAACCTAAACTTTAAAGCCTGAGTTCCCAAAAGCCCCCAAAATCCGAGAAGACGAGGAGGTGGCTTACACCGCGGCCCAGGCCGCTTGCAGTCGGTCGGAGGCCTCCGGCTTTGCATCAATTCAGGGTTTAGGGTTTGGGGTTTAGGGGTTGTAGGGGTTTGGGGTTTAGGGTTTGTAGGATTTGGGGTTCAGGGACTGACTGGCCTGCGAATCAGAAATCAGGGCGAATCAGAAGCTGCGAATCATGACTGCAAAGCAGAAACCTACTAGATGCGGGTGGGGGAGTTGGGGGGGGCAGTATAGTAATAACTACCCCAGAATAAGTAGGTATAGCCCACAGAACGGTAGGTAAAAAGGTTCTCCCAGGTTTAGATTGGCAGGTTGTTCGCCAAGTGCTCGGAGTCCTCGGAATGGAACGCCCCCATCGCATGTTCACGCTGATTTCTTTGGGATGTTCCCCCTTATACTAGCAGCTACTTAAGAGGGATTTGGGTACCCACTATTCTAATCACCATTCAGGACTGTTAGTATGAAGGGGGAGATCCCAACTGATTTTCATTCAGCAGCATGCTCGACTTCTGCGCGGTTTTGGCGAATTGCAAGAAATTCAGGGCGACGCGCAAACCTGATTGGGTAACATCTGGAGCAGTGACCCACTTTCGAGACCAGCCGGGCTCTGGATTGCAGGGTCTTGTGTCCTGAGAAAGTTGTGTGCAGATATCTCAAATCCTCATTTTTCGACATGTTGCTGATTGTAACCAAGCGCCTACTTTTGCATTGATAGGAGTAGCAGTATCCTCTTCTGGTTTGCGGGGGTCGAGTGCTTGGGCCCGCAGCAGCTTTGATATTAGGCAATTGGTTCCAGGCCTTTGGTCTGTTAGAACTGTTAGGGTTTGGGGTTTAGGGTTTAGGGTTTAGGGTTTAGGGATTTTGGAAATAAGTGGCAAAACGCTCATTTCCCGCGCCAGGCCGTAGCATGTCCCCAAGAAGCCTTAGCCAACCGAGAAGCCTAAGCCTTCTCAATCTTTTTGCCCCGCCTCGAAGTACCATGGAACCTTCAAACATACCCCCCAACTTCTATACCGCAAAAAGCGTTCTCAGGGTTTCCCCTAAACGTTGAACATCAGACTGCGTGGCGTGGAGGCGTGGCAGCAAGCTCTGGCTCTCCTCCCAGATTTCCTGTTCAACGTCGCCGACAATGATGGGAAGGACTTTCTCCTACCTGGGGCTCCATTTACGTACTATTTTGGGGCGTTAAGGCTGTTTTTTTGGGGGTTAACCTACTATGTTGTAGGGCTTGGGAGTCACAGGTAGATGCAGTGTTCAGGGTCTTGTGTGCTGCTAAACCTCTAAACTCCTAAAGCCCTAAAACCTCGAACTATAAACCCGGCAGTGCCGTAGTCCTCCTTAACCTTAGCCCTTGAAGTTGTAGAGTAGGGTTGCCTCCCCTCCCCCCCCCCCAAAAGTGGGATCCTGTAGCCGATGCGACACAATCCTTGAAGGTGGTAACTCCAAGTTCACTTACTTGGAGCTTCATGGGTAGTGATAAGTAGGGTTACAAGTAGGGTAGCGAAAGGATATAGCCTTACTTAGGGTACTTCATGGGTAGTGATAAGTAGGGTTATAAGTAGGGCAACTAATGGTTATAGCCTGACTTAGGGAACTTGCAACTCAAACAGGTTTACCCGAAAGCCCGTTTCGGCCTGCCATGAACAGTGGAGTGCCCCAGCCCGCCCTTTTGAGTAGGACGCGGTCTACGCTGCAGCCATTCGTGCTTGCGACGAGGGAAGCCAGTTCCTTGCCTTTGCAAGGTTTGTGAGCTCTAGAATTTTGGCCCTACACCCTAATCACTCAGCAAAACTTCAGCTCCCAAATCCTAAACCCTAACCCTAATTCCTCACCAAACCCTACACCCTCATAACTCATTAAGCCCCGAAACCCTCAACCCTACTTGTTCTTGACGGCAGGTGGCAGGCAGCCGTCGACCTACTCACTCAGATGAAGGACCCAGGGGTCATCGTACAGGAACACCATGTTAAGTTCCAAACCCGAAGCCCTAAACCCTGAACCCTACAGGGTGTGTTGCTTTTTTGGAGGGGGGTGGGGGGGGTGGGGGGCCAAGAGATGTTTTTTTTATGAACTGTGGACCCCAATTCAATGTTCAGAAAGTCCTTCGGTTGCCCCTAAGTTTGATACTGTCCAAGCCCTTCATCTTCCCCCTCTTTTGAGCCCTGAACCCTAACCTTGGGATGTTCCCCCTTTTTCTAACAGTTCTTAATCGGGATCATAATAGGGGTACGATAATACCTATTAAGGGCTGTTCGTATAAGGGGGAACATCCCAACCCGATTCCCTAAACCCTACAAGGACTGCACCCTCCAACCGAGCCTAGTGGCGCGCAACGCGGCGATGAGAGCCTGCAGTTTGCGCTGGGACGCTTGACTTGATAGATTATAAACCCTACTACACAGTTTTCCTAGACCCCATGTTCGGGCTGTAGGGTCGATTCCTAGTGAGCCTGCAGCCTAAGCCCCCTCAAAAACATCGACATCTTCATGTTTTTTGACCCCAAAAGCCTCTTTACACAAGGTTTTGGGGCTATTTTGAGCCTAAGGGTAAGCCCCAAAGCCCAAAGACTTAACCCCAAACTCTAAACCTACTCCCCCAAAAAATAGTAGGTGAATGGATCCCCCCCCCCCCCCCCCGAGTAGAAGCCCTAGGCAACGCTGCATAAAGAAACGTAAGGCCTTCTGGCTGAGGGTCTTTTTGGGTGTTTGGGTGTTGGAGGGTTACAGGGGGGTTTCGGGCTTTAGGGCTGTAGACGGCTTAGGATTTCTTTCGGTTATGGGGTTTTTGCTGATTTTAGGGTTTTTAGGGGTTCAGGGTTGTGGTCTGAAATGTACGTTGCTGGGGGTCTTAAACAGTACCTAAACCCTAAACCCTAAGCCCCAAGCCCCAAGCCCTAAGCCCTAATCTGTAAATTCCTACTCTGGGAGGGGGGGGAGGTTTTCTCGGCTCATGACTGTAGGATGTGGTGCTCGAGTTCTTTGCCCGCTTGACGGAGGAGGAGCTGCGGCCGGACGAGGCATGTAGGGTTTAGGGCATACGGTTTGGGGCCGTTGGGGTGTCGCCGTTGGGGTGTCCCTAAACCCTAGCCCTAAACCCTAAACTCTAAACCCTAGAAACCCAAACCTTCGCATAAACGCTCAGCCCCATGCCGGAGGGCCATTTGTTGCACCATTGTGGAATTTATGCTAGGGTTTGGGGTTTGTGGTTTGGGGTTGGGGTTTGGGGTTTGGGGTTTGGGGTTTGGGGGTTTAGATGGGAGCTTCATACAACAGACCGCGTTGACGGTTTAAAACAACAAAGGGCTTTTCTAGGGGGTACGCGTTTCCATAAGAGTACGCAACCCATGCAGCGGACATCTTCAGGAATGCCTCTGAGCTAGGTTTGCGATTTAGGCTTAGGGTTTAGAGCACATGTATATGATTGAGCTGTACTGGGATAGAATAAATTTTAGGGATCTGATGTTGTTTGTCGATTCAGCATCTCAATCACGTCCCCCAAAGCCCTAAACCCTGAATCGTATATAGAGTACCCCTACGTAGCCCTTAAATGAAGAGAACTTTGGAAGCATTAGGGTGCCATCCTTTGCCCTGAATTCTTAGGTTATTTCCCAACATGAGGATGAGTTCCTTATCATGGGAGCTCCCAAGAAGGTTTCGGGTTCAGGCCTTTGCGAGATCCAAAAACCTATCATAGGAATGCCTGGCCCTAGGTCACCTTTGGGACGGCGATCGCGGCGTGCAAGAAAGGCTGGGCATCACAGAAGATCGCCGCGAGCAAACCCAGCACTTTTGTGGTGTCACTTCTCATAAAGATGGTCTTTTTTTGAGGGGCCCTTGTGGGGGGCCCTTGTTTTATAAGGCCCTCTTTTTCGGGTACCCAAAAAAAGGGACCATAATTTTGAGAACCATGTGTTTTAGCAGTTTAGGGTCGGTTGTGGACATTGTGATGACCGTTATGACTTTGATCCTCTGGCTTAGTTGTCAGTTTCTTGGTTGAGGGTCTAGTTTCTGTGTTTTTCAGGGTTTAGCATCAACTTGGGAGCCTAAACTTGCAACCCTAAACCAGGCAAACCCTACAGGCCCTAGACCCCGGAACCCCACAAGCCGAAAACCATAAAGACCCCTAACCCCTAAACCCTAAACCCCTAAACCCTAAGCCCCGAACCCCTAAACCCCAAGCCCCTAAACCCTAAACCCAAACCCTAAACCCCTGGACCCCAAAACCCTAAACCCCTGACCCCAAAACCCTAAACCTATAAACCCTAAAACCCCAAAATCTGATGTGTGACCAGACGGCCAGTGGGCATCGGCATCCTTTCTGCTCTCTCAACTAGTTGAGCAGGGCCTGCCGGGCAACCACGCAACCTGGCGCTCTTTTAGGGGTTCAGGGTTTTGGGTTCGGGGTGTTGAACTTGAGGTCCTTCTTGGGCAATTATTTAGGGTTCTTCTGGGTGTAAAAAGGGGAAACATGGGGTCATTGTAGGGGATTATTTTCATCAACTACCATTTTATCTTCCCATGTAACAGCACAGTTGCAATTGACGAGTGTTTTTGGGGTTTAGGCCAGGGTTTAGGGTGCAGCTGGGGCTTAACATGAATGTGTGTTCAGGGATTCAGTGGTCGAGGTTTTTCGGGGTTGCAGAGTTCGGGTTTAGGGTTTAGGGTTTAGGGTTTAGGGATCATGCAAAGCCTGTAGATGTGTATGCAGGGCTATCTGATTGAGAGCATACAGGGCCTAGGATTTCCCAAAGAATGGCCTCCCTTAGCTCACAGGGGAGGTGGGGCGACCGAACCCATCCAGCTGTGGGGCAGGGGATGGTTAAGGCCGGTTCATGTGGTCTGAGTGCCCCACATCGACTGTTGTACCGTTTGCTAAACCCTGTAAACCCTAAACCCCAAGCAGCTCCCACGACATACGATGGGAGAAGAGCTTGCGAGATGTCGGCACACGTACCCCAAATATGCGCCGCAAGTGAGCCGCACATCCTCGGAATTCATCTTCACGCCGACAGGGTCCTTCATTAAGCACAGCAGCTTGCATTGCCATAGTCCAGAAACTGCATTAGATACGATAAGTTTACATCATGGTAGGCTCCTAAACAAGAACCCAGCCTCTTCTTCATGGTCCTCTGCCTCCTGTGACAGGACATCATAGCCTTCAACTCGGCCATCTGCGCCTCTGGGCAGTGCGCAGAGTGGGAGCAGTCCCTGTCACTGTTATCGTGCCTTGGATGCATTCAGCACCTGCTCCTGCTAGGGAGCTTTAATGAAGCTGCCATGAGTTAAGCCACATCCCTACACCCTAAACCCTAAACCCTAAACCCTAAACCCTAAACCCTCCCTGCCAGACTCGGTGGACCAACTCGCGCAAGGCTCCTTCAGCGGAAGCGGCTCCGAGCCGACATGGCCACCTGGAGCCTAAGACGCAAGAATTAGGTTTCCGTTTAGGGTTTAGGGTTTAGGGTTTGGGGTTTGGGGTTTGGGGTTCAGGGTTTAGGGTTTAGGGTTTGGGGGGGGCGGGGGGGGGGGGGGGGGGGGGGGGGATTCACGAATTGCAGAGGGTTCTGAGGAAGACGCCACTCAATGAAGTGCTGACCGTAGCCGAGAGATCTACGCGGCATCAGGGTAATCGTCTTAGAAGCGTTGCAGGAAGCCACTCCGCATCGTATTATGCGAGCCGTATAGGGGTCGAAATAAGTACTAATATTATTCCCTTGTGGTCTCTATATATCATTATATACTTAAACAACCCTCAAAACAATGTTCTAATTTCTAAAGCCCCTATATGCGATTTCAGCAGGGTTAAGAAGGTCCCAAAATCGAGGCCCAAGCACAAGCCTTCGCAAGCACACAAAAGAAGCTTGTAGTTCTGGCCGCCAACAGTATTTTATTGTCGAATTCCGCTTATATACAAGCCCTGTAGAACTCTGCTCTAAACTACCTCCATTCTCCCAGTATGCCCTTGTATTCATAAGCCCTCTCCGATCCAGAGGATCTCAGCAGCAACCTCCTGCGAGCGCGCGGACGCGTGGGCGGCTGCGATTCAGTTGCTGGTAGCCAAGGAGGTTCGCAGGGATAAGGGCTCAGGGTATGGGGGTTTAGGGTTTAGGGTTTAGGTTTTAGGGTTTAGGGTTTAGGGTTTAGGGAGTTTACGGTTTAAGGAGGTTAGGGTTTCGGGTATCAAGCCCCCAGAAGCCTGTAATCCCTGATGCGCAATCCAGTGAGTTGAGCCTTGGTTCCCTGCTACCCGACTCCTGACTCAGGGTCTGTAATCTCATAGGAGGGGGATTCCCAAAGGGGTACCCTTTTCGGGGGTTTAGGGTTTAGGGTTTGGGGTCTATGGGGTAGTGAGGCGTATGGCTTTTTTGGGGGTGTAAGTTTGGGCACCCCTAATTTTTGGGAAATACCCAGATAGACTCTGAGAGCATGTGCGTGCGGTTTGAGGGAAGAGGCTTTTATGAGGCTGTAGGCTTGGCGCGGTTGCGTCTGTCCGGCAGATTGGCAGTGGCAGGCACTTGACGCTAAGCAAAAGAGGTTCAACGCATTTCAGGTGAGGGGAGATAGGCTTGGTAGCCCAGTGATTAGCCCTTTCCCATTTTTTGGTTCTTATAGAGTAACCAACCCCAAAAGGGTACCCTTGTTTTTAATGTGGTCACTGGGCTACCAGGTAGAAGAACACCACAGGTGCCGCCTTGGTTGATTCAACATATTCCGACAAGGTGATAGGTGAAATGCTGCCGGAGGTCCACGATGTTAAGGCAGTCACGTTCTTGGATTCAGGGGGCTGCTAGAGTAGGTCAGATATTGCGATCATGAGGAAACTTTGCAATACAATCGACATCACCGACGCAAAGCAAGATAGCGTGCTACTGATCGACTTAGAAAGGCTCATCATCGAAAGATGCGTCAGCGAGAGTCTCATCGGCGAAAGGTGAATCGAAATGCCGGCACATCGAACCCAACAGTCAAGATTTCATTGCCGAAAGCCACATCACCGAAAGTTTGATCACAGACAACCCGAAATACCAAGAAGGACGCCACCGAACACTGGACAACTAAGAATACCTGTTTGGCTTGTATACTTTGAATAACACAGTAGCCCCAAAGAAGTAACACGAGAAAGGTACATGCCTTTCTCCTCTCCGCGAAGTTGCCGCTTGCTTAATCCTAAACCCAAAGCAGCTTCAACTCGGTTGATTAGTCGATGCGCTCAGACTCGCAAAAAACAGGCATCTGACACCCCGGCTCGTGCATCGACCCTCGCCGTTTGCGAGTGTTGAAGTCGTCAAGGGAAGCTGGACGCTTTCCGTCGCACTACTATACCTCCTTAAACCCAATGCCCTAAACGTCCGAGATAACCCAGAAGCCGAAGAATCCTCCTCTGCAAGCCCTGCCCAGACCATAGATTCATCACGATGCGGGAGTGTGCCGAATTCATAAAGCCTACAGTCTAGTAGTACGTTAGGCTTATAAACCCTAGACCCTGCTAAACCCCATGAGCCTTCACAACTCTGTAACTGTAAACCCTAAACCCTTGTCTTGTCGGGATGATCCCGGCACCGCTTGGTACAGGGTTTGCGTTTATGAGGTTTAGGGTCTGCTTGAACGGTTCAGGGTTTAGGGTTTCGGGCTTAGGGTTTATATAGGGTTTAGGATTACCAGTGGATTTCTCAAAAGAGGCGTGCGGGCCTTCTGATGTCTCAGGCTGAGATGCCTGGTAACACCCCCAACCCCTTTCCCCTGAGGCTTCCCATCCCTGAGCGGACAGCACATGGATTCGAGGGTCCCCCATACTAGAAGGTTCATGGCTACTTAGTACCCTAAATACGGTTGTAACCATAGTTCCCCTACTAATCTCCCTACTTCTAACCTACTTGTAACACATGAACCTCCAAGTAAGGTTCATGAGCTGGGATGTTCCCCCTATACTAACTAACAGTCCTTGATAGGGCTGAGAATAGGGGGTACGAGAATCCTTGTTAAGAACTGTGAGTACCAGGGGGACCATCCCAACTTATAGCGGTTAGGGTTTCATGTTTATTCTGGCCCGCCTAGCAGGCCTGCCACTTCAAGAAGGACGCCATCGTGTACAACACGTTCCCCAGAGCTTCAAAAAAGGTTTGGGGCATAGGGCCCACCCTAAAGCTTGAGGGTTTAGGGTTTCGGGTTTAGGGTTTTCGGGTTTAGGGTACAGCAAAAGCAGGGATAGGAGGAGCTTGTTCAGGGCTTCGCCCTGCTTAGGTTGGAGTTTGCCAACCCCCTCAGTCTCCCAGATCGGCGAGCAAAACTCCTAAGCAATCTCGGTCCCATTCGTACCTGTTTCGCGCCTCAATCAACGCATCGAGTCGCGCTGTTCCCGCGGCACAGGGTTTTCTCCCAAACGTGGTTTTTCCCTGTGTCAACTGTTTCGGTGAGCCGGTCCATTGCTTCTTCCGTTGCGTTGAGACAAAAAACTTCTTGAAATACCGGCTGTTTCAGATATGGCTTTTCCAGCTCCGTTTGGTATCGAGAGACATGGAATAGGGGCCTCAGTGTTACAGGGTACTTGGGGGGGTTCCGGGCAAATCCTAAACCCTAAGGCGCGCCCTAAACCCTAAACCCTGAACCCCTAAACCCCTAAACTTTCCTAAGGCCATGTCAGAGCCGAGGCTGATTGCTTCCTACGGCAAGGGTGAGCATTGGCAGACCGCGCTGGCCATGTTTGCGGAGATGCAGGAACAGAACATGCAGGAGATTAGGGAGTTCTAGGCTTCAAAGGCTCAGGGCTCATAGGGTTTATGGGTTGAAGATTCAGGGTTCAGGGTGACAAAACACGTCCCCAGAGGGGAGAAGATACGAAAGTAGGAGCTGAGTAACGCATGTGTGCATATAGGTATACGGACATGTTAACCTCCACGAGTGAGTGACTGGACCACCTGCGGTGCAGTAAGAGTTCCAAGGCTTCCAGGCACCCGATGACACAGCTCCCAGTGCATGTCGTTTGCGAGGAATGTGATGGAATGAGGGTGTGGATGCATGGAGCGTCCATTGCCTACATATATATATATATATATAGAGAGAGAGAGGGACATTCCGATATTGACGCATACTTCGCAATACACACACATGTATATATAGATATGTATATATATATATCTGTATATATACATACACGTAATTATTTATTCATAACATGCATGTGGTAGTAAATATAATGAACATATACATATACATATGCATATACATATACATACACTTATACATATACGTATACATATACAGGGACTCACCGACATGTTCCCGGGTATACCCGAAACCATAAACCCACATCCCTAAACCCAGTTGCGCAACCTTGGTGTAAAAGTGCAAAGTCTTGCACAAGCCCCCGTCGTCCTCTACGAGGCGTGCAGTCTGCATTTCTTGCCTGCAAAACGCACTGCTCAATGACCAGTTCCCGAAAATTTCAGATGCCAAGCCCTACTAACGCGAACCTAAAGGTCCAAGTTCACTAAATGCATGAAGCCCTAAACCCGAAACCCTAAACCCTACACTGAAACGGTGCATAGGGTTGTAAAAAACAACAACGAAACCTTAAAACCTAGCCCGAAACCCTAAACCCTAACAGGAGCTTGATGCAACATATACGACTACCCTGGCCGCCCTTGCGTGGAACTGTCAGTGGGTGGCAGCCCTGGCTTTTCTGGTGCCCTGGGCGCAAGTGCTTAGGGTCCAGGGAAGGTTTAGGGTTTAGGGTTTAGGGTTTAGGGTTTAGGGTTTAGGCTTTAGGGTTTAGGCTTTCGGGTGTAGGGTTTCGTTTGACAGGTGTTCGTGAATTGGTTGAAAAAAAGTGGTCAAGCCGAGGTGTTGCATTGGCAGTCCGGCATTTCTGGATGTGGGTTGCTGATGGCCCCTCTTTTCGTTTGAGTTGTCCTTTCTTGGACAGGGTCTTTGACTGCATCTAATCTTTCACGGCCTTTGGGGCGGTGGAGGGGCCTGCAATTGCTTCTGCGTCCGCGTGTGCATCTGCTGTACGTTCCATGACGATGGCTGACCGAAACGTTTGGCAGAGTTCGTTTGTTGACGTTTGTTTTCTGACACTTGCCCTCCCCATCCTCCGAGCGTTGTGTCCATGTTGCCAGACATGCCACATTGTAGCACTACTCTTCTCGGACGCTGCAGAGAGAGAGAGATTTATATATATATATAGAGACAGAGAGAGAGAGCAGGAATGCAAATATTCGAGAACACTGCAAGTCTGCATGGATTTTAGGGTTTCGTGAAGCCTGCCCTTCAAAATCTGAACAGTAGGAGAACTGCGGCCTTAGACGAACGCGAGGGTCTTTGTCCCAGACGGGTTTAGGGTTTAGGGGGGTCGAGGGAGGGCGCTGGCAGGCAAGTTCAGATGTTCAAGGTTGGGAAGCCTCAAGCCCTAAAGCCTGAAGCCTAAAGCCTAAACCCTAAACCCTAAACCTCAAACCCTAGACCCTAAACCCTAAACCCTAACCCTAAAGCTTAAATCCACGGTGTTGTATGTGATGTGTTCCTGAGGTCAGTACTCAGCAAGTGGCTGCTGCACAGAATGTCCTCGTGGCGCCTCTTGCCATTGCGTTTAGGGTCTATAGGGTCTATAAGGTTTAGGGTTTAGGGTTAATGGTTCATAATCATAGGGTTTATAGGGCTTTTAGGGTTTAGAGGGTTTATGAGGTTCAGAGGGTTTGTAGGGTTTGTAGGGTTTATAGGGTTTAGAGGGTTTAGGGTTTACAGGGTTTAGAGGGTTTAGAAGGTTTAGAGGGTTTATGGGGTTTGCAGGGTTTATAGTGTTTACAGTGTTATGAGGTTTAGAGGGTCTAGAGGGTTTGTAGGGTTTAGAGGGTTTAGAGGGGAGGGTTTATAGGATCGGGTTCATAGGGTTTAGAGGGTCTATGCGGTTTATCGGGTTTATAGGGCTTGTAGGGTTTTGGGTTTAGGGGTTCCGGGTTCAGGGGGTAGGGAAGTCCTGAACTGAAGAGGATTATTTTGAAACCCCCCCAAGGCACTCACCCATGCCCCAAATAATACACAGGCATAGTAAGAGAGAAACATCAGGAACATGTGATGCATATGTGGGGTACGTGGTGCTTGCGGCGGCTTTTCCAGTGGCTATACCGTACGGTTATGTACCCGCATAGTTCCCGAGGTTACTTTTTGGGAGGTTCAGGTTAGGATTTAGGGTTTAGGATTTAGGGTCTCTCAACTCCGATCTCTTCTCTGTGAGGGAGGGGCTGGGGTTTGGGGGGTGGGGGGGGGAGGGGTGGGAGGGAGGAATGCGACCTGTACCTGTTTTTCGGATTTAGGTGTCCAGGGCTTTTTCGGTTTAGAGGGGTTTGGTCCAGCTCGCATGTTCCGGTCCTTTGCCTCAACCAGGTGTAGGGTTTAGGGTTTGGGTTTGGGGTGCTTGTTCTAGCCTCGCTTGTTGTGTTCTGAGTTGTGCCTAGCCATTGGTATGCAGCGACGGCTTCGGGCACATTATTTTCGGGCTTCCACCGGCAGCCAACTGCAAGGAATTACGACATCTGCATTGAGACATGCGTCCCGGCCATATATACTCAAAAGGACCGTGACCTATTGTGTTATGGCACCTGTTTTTTCCAAGAATCCCAACGAATCCCGAACCCTGCAATTTGAGGTCTGAATCTGGAATAATCTGGGCTCTACTGCATACTGCAGGTTTGGCTACAGAAGTGAACTCCCCAACATGATCCCTTTTATCTGTGGAAGCTACCCGTCGTACCCATTCTTGCTTCAGGATTGTCAGGCCCTCGCCCCCCCCCCCCCCCCCCCCCCAATATTGTCTGCACCCGGACAGGTCCCCATAATATAGATTTTACATGATTTTACACGTAAAGTATCAGTGCCCTCTTGAAGGTTCATGGGTACTTTAAGCACTCTCTAAAAGAGGTGATCTTGATAGCTACCCTACTTCTTTCCCTACGTCTAAGTACCCATGAGCGGCCAAGCTGAACCATCCACGAATTTAGGGTTTCGGGTTCAACCCTCAACCCTGAACCCTAAACCCTAAATCCACGCCCCTAGGTGCAAGAGCAGGGAAGTGGATCGTGGCACTGGGGCTCTTTGCAGACCTCAACAGCCGGCGTCTTTCGGGACAGCTGAGGCCCCGGCCGCGGGGGTGGATGGGTTGAGAGCTTGCTGATCCTTATAAGGCCTCAAGCAACCCTAAACCCTAAACCCTAAAGCCTAAACCCTAAACAACAGAGGTTCAACCTCAAGAAGCTAAGAAGCCCAAAGGGAGCACACTGACGAAACCCTTAATCATGTCACCAAATTAAGCCCTGAAGCATCTCTCTACCTGCCCCTCTAGTTCTAGTTCCTGTGTTAGACGGCACCAAAGTGAATCTTGAATAGCAAGACAAGAAGCTTTCCAAGAAAGGAAGCGACACTTGAAGGGGATCTAGGTCTTAAAGCCTACGCCCTAAAGCAGCCCTTTACATGGGCATGGGAGATTCTCGAAATTACGCTCCCTGTGGAGAGTTCATAGTTCGGATGCTCAGCCTCGTAGTTGAGTGCCTTGCAAGCTAAACCCCAAGCCCTGCGAGGCCGAAGCCCTAAGCCTTAGCCTGTTCGTGGTGCAGGCTAGGGGGTTGCAGGTGGTATTTTAGGGGCTCGTCCGCCCCAATGCCTCCACCGGCCTTGATGCCATGCCAGGACAAAGCTAATAGCCTCCAGTCGTAGAAGCCGAGAGCCATGTCTTTCCGGCCTGCGTTGACCTTGTCAACATGGCTCTTCGTGGGCTTGATCCAGGTCGCGATGGGCGACTTGAACGTGCAGGGCCGTAGTCTCCGGTTGGCAAATCACAGCACCAGCGGGCCAATGCCAAAGGGGCCAAACGCCACAGAAGCACCGGCTGCCCAGGTCCCAGCTTTCGTGGCGAACAGCACTGGAGGGAGCAACTCCGGCAAAACCCCAGAAGCCCTCCAGGAAGCGCAGCCTCTTTTGCCCCCCGATGTCTCACAGGACCTCTCCCAGGTGTCCGAAGTGAGCAGCGCAAGCAATGCAAGCAATGCAACCTCACTCCGTGCCAAGAAGTCCTCAGCTTCGTCTGGTTGGGTGGGCTGCTGGTACTACGGCTGCCGCGGCAGCTACCATCCGGAGTTCTACTGCCAGTGCAACGCACAATGCAAGCGGTTCGGGAACTGCTGCTATGACTACGGTAGCCGGTGTTGGCGCCAACCGCAGGACAGCCGGCGGCGGCGTCGCCGGGCACCGCCGCCCTCCCCGCCGCCATCCCGGCCACCGTCCCCGCCGCCTTCCCCGCCGCCATACCGCCCGCCGTCCCCGCCGCCATCACCACCGTCTCCTCCACAGGGGCCGGCAAACAACGGGCTGGCCTCAAGATTCGGTCAGAAACTTTTTTTACAAGCCAGAAGGAGCTCAACTAATCGGCTCAGCTACATGCGGGGTAACTACTGTGCATCGTTAAGCCTGTCTTCGTTTGGTTTATGTTCCCTTTTTCCATGTGGGATCCAAGCCCTCATAAGCTCTGCAGAGCTCCCCTCAGAAGGCCAGAACTCAGTTCCCAGGTGGCCGGCTACCACCAGACCAGTCCGCACGTGTGCAAGTTGATCATCAACTCCGCCTTCCGGCCGGGATCGGATGGCCACTGTGGGGGGGCCATCTACTTTGCCATGTGCCCTTGGCATCGAGAGCTGTGGTTTTGGAGGGTCCAGTTGGTGTAGTGCTCACAGGGAGATATAGGTAAGCAATGTTGTGTATAGGTCTTGGGAATGGCTTTTTCCGGGTTCTGAATTGATTTGCTATTGAGGGTAAGGAGTGTTAGCCTTCAGCCTTCAGAGTCGCCGTTGCGACTGTTAACTTCGAGCCCTGAAGTGGGCATCGTTTGTAGATGTTAGGGCCTCCACACCTCTCCCCCGAGTAGGATTGATTACGTGCCTAGAGTGGAAACAAGCAAGGTCGCCGGAGGCGACGAAGACCAAAGCTATCGGCAACGACTCGAAGAGTGGATGCATCATCAAGGCAATGGTCGATGTGGGTCGCGTCAAGCACGAGGGTGCGAACTGCGGCCACAAGTGGACAAAGCAGGAGTTCCTGCAGACCGGGTATGATTCGATTCGCTTCGATCCGGGAGACGGAGACGAGATAGTCATCTTCGACAGCTCAAGGGTCAAGAGCATGAGCATCATCCCGTTCAACAATGCCTGGAGGCCGACCTACTCAGTCCGCTGAGTTTCCTTAACTTTTTCTCCCGAACCCTAAACCCTCAGCCCTAAACCCTAAGCCTAAACCCTAAACCCTAAAACCCCGAAATTCAAGATCCTTCCGGGGGCACCCTTAGTCCTCTGGTCCGCTGGACAGCTTTGGATTGGCAAGGTCCAGTCTTCCGACATCTTCCTTAAGGCTCCAGTCCTCAGGCACAGTACCCCCGATGCACTACAGTATACATATATATATATATTATATATATATATATATATTGTATAATATATATATATACACATACACATACATATATATATATATATATATGTATACGTGTGTCTATATATATACACACGCAGTCTGACTATTCGTTTCGTGTGTTGTTGTTGAGATTCATGGCAGGGCCTGCGTGGAGCCTTCAGGTTTTGTTGTGCCAGCTGACTCAGAGGCGGCTTCCGACCAAAAGGATGGTTCAGCCCACTATAGAGCACCCCGGAGACCCCGAAGAAAATGCCAGTTTTGGAGGGCCTCCCTCGCATGCAGAGCCTGTGTTCGGTCACCGGAAATTGCAAAGCTGAAAGCGATGGCCTGGCTTCTTTAGATTCCCTGTAGCCAAGAGAGCTGCTAGGGTGTTAATCTCATTACCTGCTGCATTGTGCAAAAAAAAAGCTCCGAAAGACTGAGCACTAAGTCCCGTAAACCCTAAACCTTTGATGAATTCAGCTTCCCCAACCCCCTCTCCCCCCCTCACCCGCCAGTTGCAGAACTCAGATCCTATAGCTACAAGGGCTTGCAGCTCTGAATGGCACTTTTCACTTGCAGTCGAAGAGTTGCCCTCGGTTACCACGAGCCGACTAGTTGGCGCAGCCGGTCCAAACCTTTCTTAACGGTTCACGGGTACTTAAGGTTCGGGGCAGAAGTACCCTAAATAAGGTTCTAAACATAGGCCCTTTACTTGTAGCACTACGTGCAAGTACCCGTGGTCTACGTTGTCATGAACTTGTAGTGCCTGGCATAGAGTCATAGAGCCGAGAGGGTCCCTTCTCAGTTCCATTCTGAGACTAGGTAGCCCAGAAGCACCTCAAAACCCTAGTGGACAGGGTCCGGGCGAACATGAACAAAAGCAAGTGCTGAAGAACTAGGGGCCTTTGGATCTGTTCAAGGTTGGGGGTTTAAAGATGTTTAGAGTCTAGGGCTGCCATATCAGTTCAGGGCGCCAGAGAGACCCAGATTCCACTTCCTCTGCGCAGGACATTCCCACGCCTTCCAGTGGGTCTCCAGCAAATGATGCGGCAGCAGTTGTCTCTCGAATTGCCTGGCGAAAAACAGATCCGAGACTTCTTCCCAGGGTTGTTGCGCAGTGGTCTTTTTTGATTGCTATTATTTCTAGAACTACTATATTTCTACGATTACTCCTCTAGGTGTCCGTATTCATGATTAGCGATCATTGTGACCGGTATATGGTTTTATTAATACTAATACGATTAGTATTTCCAGTACTGTTTGTTCTTTGTTGTATTTATTGCCATCGTTGTTAGTCTTGTTACAGCTGGGTTGTTATACTCATTATTGTACTAGTTCTAGCGCTAGTATTCCTACCACCGTTATTGTTCTTATCACATGTCACAAAGATTACCTCTTTGCTTATAGTATTTTTCGCTCGTATGCTGACAATCAATATTATGTACTATAGCCATTGTTGCTACGAATACTACCATTCCTTGATTTAGTTTCATTGCTGAGATTGCTTTTGCTATTTTCATGTTTGCTGAGTGCCTTGAGTGCGAACAGTACTCGTATTAGATTTAGGTTTATGACTGGTATATCTGTACCACTTTTACCACAATAGCTTACCCTGTTCATTCCTGCTATCAATTACTCCTGTTATTACGTGTCTCAGTAGCACAAGTGCTCTGGCTACGCTTTGCTACGACTCTCACCAGTTACTACCGCTACCGGCTTGACGCCGTACCTCCAGCATCACTTCCTTGATGATAGCACTACCGGCTCTTGTCCCCTTCAAGCGCGAGCATTCCAGTTCAGGGTTCAGGTTTAGGGTTTACGGTGAGGGTTTAGGGCTATGCAGCGTCCGCAGCGACCTTCTATCTTCAAGGCAAAACAAGATGCCCTGAAGCCGACGTCCCCAGCACAGTCGAGTACTATTCGCCTTGAAGCTGATGCAGCCCCTCGGTAGGCCCTGTAGAACTGGAGCTGCGGCTGCCCAGAGCTAGCAGAGATTTTGGTGAGGTTTAGTTTTAGGGTTTATAGTGCCCTGAGGGGGGTTCGGGCTTTCAGGATCTGAGGTGCAGGTGTAGTTTGCACTGATGTTGGTAGTACGACTATTCTGACAATGCTTCTTTCGTCGCCGTTCTTAATATTTGTTATGACCCTTTCTCTTACAACCTTAAGGTTTCTGAAGGTCTTGAGCTTATGCAATTTGGGTTCCAGCCGCCTCAATGCCGCAAAAGCCACCCAACACCACCATCTCGAGGTTGAGACGTGGCTGTTCTTCGATGGCGTCAGGAGCTTGATCGGAAGGTTCATCTTATTTGCGGAGCCTGGCTTAACCCAAAGCAACCCAAAACAAGGCGTTAAGGGTGTAGGGATCAAACCCCAAGGAACTGGAGAGCATAAACCCTATACAGCCTTACTCATGGGTGTTTCGGAGCCAGGTTTCCACAAGGCTCGTGGAGCTTCCTATCCGCCCATGTGCAAAACCCTGGGTTCTCCACAATTTTGTTTTTGTTGCGCCACAGGGTTTGGCGTTTGGGTTTTGCCTGAAAACAGGAGCCCCCAGAAAGGCCAAGATTTTCCCTAATGCCTAAAAAAAGGTTTAAGGGTTTTAGGGTTTAGAGTTTAGAGTTTCGTTCTGTATGTGGACTCGTTGGGGTTCTCTTTGTTCAAACGCCCGGACCGCTCGTTGCTGGGGCTACCTTGCTGCCTTTGAAGTCTTACCAGTTCCCTGAAGCTCCTAAACGCCACAAGACCCATAACCCACACAAGCCAAGCCCTAGTAGATAACCCCCTTATCGCCCCTCTCAGCCCTGCATAAGCCCTGTAGACCCCACAAGCCACATAAGCCCCATAAACCCAGTAAGCCCCACATAAACCTTGAGACTCGAAAAAAGCGCCACAAGTCCAGTAAGCTCCAGCCAGCCTTGGCAATGGGTCCACTGCCATCAAGCCTCCGATTTCTGCACGCCTGGGGCGAAGTCGCGAATGTCCTTGCAGGAGGTCCAACAAACAAGTGTTGCAAAAGACCTTCGCGTCTACAAGCCTATTTTCTGAGTGCTGCATTCTCTCAATGCTCCCCCGAATCAGAACTTAGCCACTGTGAACTGCACACCATCCCCAAACATAACAGTCGCACTCATCACACAATGCCCATCAACCCAGCGGGCCCAGATCCTGGACTGCACGTGGCGGGGCTTCCCTGACCATTGGACCAGGCTACATCGCCTCTTGCAGCACACTTAAGAGTTGCTTCATTTACTACTCTTCCAACTTTCAACCCGTGGCACCTCTGCAGAAGAGTTGTCCGTGATTCTTGCTTATCCTGGGGTTTAGGGTTTAGGGTTTAGGGACCCTAAGCTAAACCTCCTTTGAGGCCCGCGTTTATTCTGGTTGTTTCCTTTCGTCAGCTGGTCAGCTGAGGGTTGTTCGCATGAGGATCCTCTTCTAGACACCTAGATTAGACTTTTTAGGGTTTGGGGTTTAGGGTTTAGGGTTTTAAGGGTGTTAGGGTTTAGGGTTTTAGGGTTCGAAGAGTTTGGGAGGCCGAAGCCAGGGCCTACATTTAGAATCCGCCGCCTCGGCGAGGTTCGCTGGCCTCCGGCCGCCGCAAGGAGGCGGCCACACTCGGCAAGCAGCTGGTGGAGAGATGGCGAAATCAGAGCGCGCGGAAGTGCCCCGAGCTCTCGCGGAGCCTTGGGACAGTCCTAAAAACCTGGGGGCTCCGGGGGGGTTGGATTCCCTGGCAGACCAAATGAACCTGAAAGTTGGGGTCGTTTTATGCCTTATACTACAAATTATAATCCACAATAGTGCATACGAGCCATAAAGCTGTTTTACAGCTCAGTAAATCTTTTAGGGTTCATTCTGATCCCCATGAGGGTATATGAGCCATAAACTCCTTTAGGGTTCATTTATCCCACAAGGTCAGAGGCCCATGAACAGTTGTTCAGGAGCTTAAAATGCGCGGCGGTGCTACATGGCCCTAAACCCTACACTCTAGACCCTATAAACCCTAAACTCTACACCCTAAACCCTAAACCCGAAACCCGAAACCCTCCGATGTGAACACAGCCCAGGATTCTCTTAGGAGAGGCCTCGCCTCACGTGCTGCAGGGCTTCTGCCCTTATGGCTTTGCCGCGGCCCTGCGCGCAGCCTCCTGGTCTCTCAAGCGCTCTCGCCGGGGAGACAGGGAACGCCGGAAGCTGCTGGACGATGCGCTGTCATGTGCTGCCATGGGGAAGCTGGGCCTGACATCTTCAAGGGTTTTAGAGGGTGTGTTTTGTTTTTTGTTGTTGTTTTTTTTTTTTTTTTTTTGGGGGGGGGGGGGGGTGTGGGGCCTCCTTCGGTTTTAGGGTTTAGGGTTTAGGGTTAGTTTAGGGTTTAGGATATAGAGGAGAGGAGGGGCCATAAAGAAGGGCTCCTTTTTGCAGGGCCCTACTGTGGTACATAGGGGGAGCTCTAGAAGGTAATAGCTACAAGCCGATATGTGCAATGGTCATCACCATCAGGATCCATTGTTCAAATATTTCAGACTTGTCCTATGATTCCTAGAAAGTTCTGAGCAGTATTATGATCATTGGAAAGCCCTCCCCGGTGCAGGGAGAAGTGGTGGACCTGGAACTTCTTCTCTGACACCCGCTGGCAAAGCGCGGTGGAGCCCCTAGACCTGGCGCAGGAGCGGGCGCTGCTGCGCTGGGCGCCCAGGACGAGACCGGGCGCCCGCAAGAGCGGCCCGGCTCCCCTCGAACTCTGATCACGACGTTTTTTTGTTTTTGTGTGTGTGTGCTTGGTTTTTTTTTGCTTGGAACAAGTGGAACAAGTAGATAACAATCCGCCAAGCAAGGGATTCAACACATGGGACCATGGATGTATATGTATGTATGCATATACATATATATATATGTGGCCGAGACCTTTAGGGTCTATTTCACGGCTGGTTCTTCTTTCAGTAGTAGTGCAATAATAATAATAATTTTAATATTATTATGAGTATAATAATACTGACCGTAATTGTAATAGGAATAATAATAGTACTAGTAATAGTAATAGGAATAGGAATAGTAATAATTCTAGTAATAGTATTAGTAGTAGTAACAGTAATAGTGAAGGTTTGGTCTGTGTGTGCACCGGCGCCAGCAAGTGCAGCCATGTAGCTCTAGCACACTTTGAAGTAAGAGATAGACAAGTTGTTTCATAGCCTGAAGAGGGGCGAAGGGCTCTCTCATTTCCGATTACGAGGTAGAGGTGAGCTATCTCATTTCTTAGAAACATAGAGGAGATCTCATTTCCACGACAGAGACATCTTTCACTCAGGAGAGAACGCAAGCTGTTTCATTTCCAAGAAAATAGAGGAGCTCTATCATGTCGCATTAGAAGTGAGAAGCTCTGCACTAAAAGATAGAAGGCATCGATTCGTTTCCCTTTTTCTTTTGCTTATCAAAGGGTCTTTTCAGTTCGAACACAGGATTTCTTTCATGCCCTATAAGAAGGATCGAGGAGCTCTTTCATCTGAGAGATAGAAGAACGCATTCATGAAGTATACACGAGCTCATTTCTCGTCAAGAGGCAGAGGCGTGCCCAGCTCTACCATTACCTAACTCTTACCTGAAATTTCTCTATCTCGCAATAGGTCATGAGAGACCTCCTTTTTCACGCTGCAGGAAATGAGAGAGTTCTCTTCTATGTCGATTTTCAGAAATAGCTTCGCAGCTTCTCTATCAATGAAGAGTTTTGAAGGCCACTCTGGGCCATTCTCTGTCCATCAAATGGGACATGACATAACGCATCTCTCGCTATCGTTTACGTGATAGAGTTTCGCTATCTCTGAATAGGTCATCTGAAAGCTCCTCTGTATCTTTGCAGCAAGTGAAGGAGCTCCTTGCCTCTTCTGCAAGAGCCCTCCGCTTCCTATTTTGCAATGAGCAAGCTCTTTTATCTCCTCTGGTTCCTAATAGGTCATGAGCGGGCTTCCCTCTCTCCTTCTCTTTTAGGGGATAGAGGAGGTTTTTTCATGTTGCGTTAACAGCTAGAGGACATCATTTATATCCATTCTGTCATTTCGTATGAGAAGATACAGGAGCTCATTCATCTCCTAGTCAGAGATTGAAGAACTCGTTCACAAGAGATATAGATATAAGAAATCTCTCATACAATGTATAAGAGCTCTCTCATGTCCTACCTAGTTCATTTGCACCAGCGCTCAGCTCTACCATTTCGTATCTTTTATATGACATAGCTTCTCTATCTCGCAATAGGTCATGAGAGACCTCCTCTTTCTTTTGCAGGAAATGAGAGAGGTCTCTATCTACCTTTTGTGAAAGAGCTCCCTTTGTTCAATCACAAGAACTCATTCATAGAAGCTGTAAGAGCTCTCGAATGTACTTTCTTGTTAATTTCCCGTCGATAGATAGAGGAGCTCACAGCTCTACCACATCCTACCCTTTACATGGAAGAGGCTCCTCTATCTCGTAGCGGGTCAAGAAAGATTGTCTCTATCTCTTTGCAGAACATTAGAGAGTCCTCTACCTACCTCTTGTGAAAGAGCTCCTTCACCTCAAAATCAAATGCCACAACTCGTCTATCTTTCACTGGGACATGAGACAGCTCCATTGTGAATTTCTATTCAGAAATAGCTGCTTCTCTATCGATGAAGAAATCATGCGAGTAGCCGTTTATCGATGCATAAGAAATGACATAGCTCTTCTACCTTTTTGCGACAGATCTCTTCTTTACCCGAAATGAAAGTTTGGAAGGCCATTCTCTATCCCTTGAATGGGGACACAACTCATCAGTCTCTATCGTTTACGTGAGAGAGTTTCGCTATCTCTGAACAGGTCATCTGAAAGCTCCTTTGTGTCTGCGCAGCAAGTGAAGGAGCTGCTTGCCTCTTCTGCAATAGCTCCTCCGCTTCCTATTTTGCAATGAGCAACCTCTTCTATCTCCTTTGGTTCCTATTTCTCGTTTGCCATCACTAGGCAGAGGAGCTCTCAGCTCTACCATGACCTATCTTTTACATGAAAGAGGCTTCTCTATCTCGTAACGGTTCATGGAGTCATGACAGATCTTCTCTATCTCTTTGCAAGAAAAGAGAGCGTGCTCTACCTACCTCGTGTGAAAGAGCTCCTCCACCTTGTGATCGAGAGTGACAGAACTCGTCTATCTTTCAATGGTGCATGAGCCAGGTTTTTTGTTTGTATTTGAGAAAAAGCTTGTCTACCCGTGATATAATAAGAAATGAATAGCTCTTCTACCTTTCTGTGACAGATCTCTCCTTTATTCGAAATGAAAGTCTGGAAGGCCATTCTCTATCCCTGAAATGGGGCATGACATAACTTTTCAATCTCTATCGTTTACGTGATCGAGTTTCGCTATCTCTGAATAGGTCATCTGAAAGCTCCTCTGTATCTTTGCAGCAAGTGAAGGAGCTCCTTGCCTCTTCTGCAAGAGCCCTCCGCTTCCTCTTTTGCAATGAGCAAGCTCTTTATCTCCTCTGTTTCCTAACAGGTCATGAGACAGCTCATTTCCACACTGTCATTTCGTATGCGAAGACACAGGAGCTCATTCATTTTCTATTCAGAGATTGAAGAACTCATTCATAAGAAATGTATGAGAGTTCTCTCATGTCCTATCTAACTGATTTCCCGTCACTAGGCAGAGGAGTCCTCAGCTCTACCATTTCTTATCTTTATATGACATAGCTTCTCTATCTCGCAATAATCAGGTCGTGAGAGACCTCCTCTTTCTTTTACAGGAAATGAGAGAGGTCTCTATCTACCCTTTGTGAAAGAGCTCCCTTTGTTCACTGGCAAGAACTCATTCATGAAAGCTATAAGAGTTCCCGTCGATAGGTAAAGGAGCTCACAGCTCTTCTATATCTTACCCTTTACATGAAAGAGGCTCTCTATCTCGTAGCGGGTCATGAAAGATCGTCTCTATCTCTTTGCCGGACATGAGAGAGTCCTCTACCTACCTCTTGTGAAAGAGCTCCCCCACCTCGTAACGTACAAAGACAGAACTCGTCTATCTTTCAATGGGACATGATCCGTCTCTTTGGTTTTGGTTGAGAAAAGCTTCTCTATCCATGAAGCAAACATGAGAGAAGCCGATTGTCTCTAGGCTGCTTATCGCTTCGTAGGAAATGACATAGCTCTTTTACCTTTTTGCGAGAGATCAACCCTAATTGAAGGTTTCGAAGGCCTATCCCTGAAATGGAGCGTCGCATAACTCATCAGTCTCTCTCGCTTACGTGAGACAGCATTTATTCTATTTCGTAACAGGTCATCTAAACGCTCTTCTATGCGTTTGTAGAAGTAGAAGAGCTCCTTGCCTCTTGTGCAAAAGCTCCTCCGCATCCTAAAGAGCAATGAGCAAGCTCTTCTATCTCCTCTCTCTTGAATAGGTCATGAGAGGGCTCCCCTCCCTCTGGTTGAGGGAATGACAGAGCTCCTCCGCCCCTTACGAAAGAGCCTTTCTCCTGCTTGAAAAGCTGCGGGCGGGTGCTCTGGCGCCTCGTAGGTTTGGGAGGGCTCCTTTTCACATCTTTATCTTTCCGACTCCGAGATATAGGAGCTCATTTTTTCGAAAGTGGTAGCAGAGATCTCTCATTTCCAAGAGATCTTTGTCACTCAGGGAGAAAGCAAGGTTTTGATTTCAAAGAAATGGAGGAGCTCTTTCATGTCCCATTAAGAGTGTGGAGCGCTCTCATTACGCATGAAAAGATTGATGACATGGATTCGTTACCATTCTTTAACTTTTCTCGAAGGGTCTTTTCTTTTCATATGCAGGATCTCTTTCATTTCCTATGAGAAGATAGAGGAGCTCTTTCATCTCAAAGATAGAAGAATGCATTCATAAACGGTATAAGAGCTCTCCCATGAACTATATCTCATCGTAGGGGGCATAGGAGTCTTAGGGGGCTCAGGATTCGCGTGCAGGGTGTAGGGTTTATAGGGCTACGGGAATTTAATGGAGGGTGTATTTGTGTAGTCTGCCTATTACCGTAACAAACCCGTGACATAACCCAGAGCCATTACTTGCAAGACTGCTTCTTGAAAGCAAGAGCGCTAGTGTCTAACCATTGTACATTCCTACATGAGATACCCCACCACATCTTGAAAACACCTCTTTCTCCAAGGGTTTACTGGGGCATTAAGGAACAAGAACGTGATGGTTTCAGCACCAAAGTAAGGGAATAGCAAAGGGTTTCCAGGGAAAACTTCCCTGATGCAACCGGTCTCTATCTCACAAGAGGTCATGAGAGACCTCCTGTATCACATTGCAGGAATGAGAGAGTTCTCCACCATGTTTGTTTTCCGAAATAGCTTCTCTATCAATGAAGAGTTTTGAAGGTCGCCCTGGGCCATTCTCTGTCCGATAAATGAGACATGACATAACTCATTAGTCTCTATTAAGAGAGTCTCTATCTCTACGTGATCGAGTTTCGCTATCTCTGAATATACGTCGTCTGAAAGCTCCTCTGTGTCTTTGTAGCAAGTGAAGGAGCTCCTTGCCTCTTCTGCAAGAGCTCCTCCGCTTCCCCTTTTGCAATGAGCAAGCTCTTCTATCTCCTCTGGTTCCTAACAGGTCATGACTTCTGCAAGAGCTCCTCCTCTTGATATTTTGCAATGAGCAAGCTCTTCTATCTCCTAATAGGTCAGAGAGGGCTTCCCTCTCTCCCACTCTTGTAGAGGGCATCGTTCATTTCCTGTCTGTCATTACGTATGAGAAG